TTTTCGCCTCTTCTAGTATAGTTTGGGGCTGCCTTCCCAATTTAAGGGTTTCAACATCATGAATAATACGCACCAGCTGGCCTGCACGTTGACCATTTGCTCAATTCGTGCCTGGTCTGCTCCGCGAATCGGCCGACGTGACGACATGGGCAACGTCAGTTTCGGGAGCGAGCTCTCTGATCTTTGCACGGCACGACATCGTCGCGAGGCAGGTAAGGTACCTCTATTGGCTCGCACGAGGTGAGAGGCTGGTAGAATTCCTACCTCATGTTGTCTTAGCTGACGACAGGAGAATATTTGACATTGGCTGGGCAAGGCAATTGCCTTCGCAGTTCTATAGTTGACGCCTTCGCAGTTCCAGTTGGCGGCCTGGGCCGTCGTCGGCGTCCAGTCAGTGTGCACCGGCGTCCACAGCAGCGTCATTCCCAGCGGTTTCGTTTCTGGCTCTTTCGGGTGTTGGAATGCGGTGGCTATCAGTTCATCGAACGATGTTTCATCGACAAATCGTTTCATCGGCACGCGATATCTCCTCGATAGATTGTTTCATTGACAAATCGTTTCATCGACAGCTCGGATTAGCCTTTTTTTTTTTTAATAAGCTACATGAGACTGTCGCCGCGAAGCGGCGTGTACGGGTCGTTCAGGGGGGTTAACTTTTTGTAATGAACCACCGCAGAGTATTGCCGCGAAGCGGCGTGAACGCAGGCGGCGGGTGAGAGAGAGAGGTAGGCGTTTAATAAACAATGATGTCAACCAGCGCCTGGTACTGGTTTGCTACATTGTGAAATGAACGGAAGCGAAAATCATAAAGATAGAGGAGATAAAGGTAAACAGAAGAAGATAGAAGAGAAAAAGGTAAACAGAAAAAGATAGAGAGAGAAAACACACAAAACCAAAGTAATAAAAACTTTAAAAAGAAACTAACGAAAATGTTTCACTGGAAATTGTCATCGGCCATTGCTGTTCATCTACTCCCCTACAGTTTCTTCTGTAAGCGAGTAGCTGCTAGAAATTTCAGCAGAGCTTTCGTAGCTTTATACCCATCAGCAGCAGAGATCCATGGACCAAGCAGAGTACGAATGCTTACGTCTTGTTCATTTTGTAGCCTCACGTCTGTCTTCATAAGCTCCCTTTCCCGGCTGTAGTCCTTGCATTCGCACAATACATGTTCCATGTTATAGGTAACTCCGCACGAAGCACAATCAGAAGACTCAGCTCTACCGATTTTGTAAAGGTAGCTGTTGGTGTATGCCACATTCAGTCTCAAGCGATGTAGGACCGTCTCGGCTGCCCTTGGTAGTCCCCGAGGTGCCCGAAATCTAAGTTTGGCATCGATATTGCAAAGATAGGAATAATGATATTGAAGATTTCTCCAAAGGGAAGATGCTATTTCTTGGCCAATATCTCTAATTAAGTTATCTGCATCTGATTTAGAAAACGGGACTGACACAGTAATAGCGCTCTCATGAGCGTTTCGAGCTGCTCTGTCAGCGATAACATTTCCGGTTATACCAGAGTGACCAGGAATCCACTGTATAATAAACTGGTGCCCTTTGCATGAAGCTTCGCGAGTTGCTTCCAGAATATCCTGTGCGAGTTGCAAGTTCGGTCTACATCTCTTCATCGTAGAGAGGGTGTGTAGAGCAGTTTTAGAGTGCACAAAGATAGCCCAAAAATTAGGACTCTCGGCTCCCACGCGAGCAACAGCTGCTCGAATTGCTGCGAGTTCCGACGCTGTTGACGACGTAACGTGGCTCAACCTTGCTTGCATGCATGCGTCCAAAGACGGAATATAGGCTCCCAGGGTCGATGATGCTGACATTGTAGATCCGTCGGTGAAGACATTTCTGAATGAGGCATAAGTTCGGTTTATGTGTTCCAGCACTGTCTGCGTAATCACGGGGGTGGGCATTGTTTTCTTCGAAGTGATTCCCGGAATACGCGTTCTTATTTCTAAGTGAGGGTACCTCCATGGTGGATAGCTTGGAATTACCGCAGCTTTAAAAGAAGTTGGAATGTAATCCTCCAAGAGTGTGATAACTTGTGCAAAGCCGGATGGTGGTCTCTCTGTTACCATATTTGTGAGGTGATGCTTATATGTACGAGATTTGTGACGAAGATGGGCTCTTAAAGTTTCTTGCGTTCTTAAAACGGCTGGTGAAATCGCTTGTGCTTCCGCAAGAGATCCCAAATTAGAAGTTCCTTTAGGAAGCCCTAAACATGTGCGAAGAGCTTGTGCTTGAATACTCTCGAGTTCTTTTAGAAGAGTACGTGAGATGTTATGCATAGCAGGCAGGCTGTAGCGCAGAAGTCCGAGAAATAAGGCATTATAAAGGGCAAGGAGTGCGGAGACAGAGCATTTCCATTTGGTTCCACTGATCATCCTGATTATATTGATGAAAGAGGAGAGCTTCTTCTCAAGGCGTTTTACATGGGGGCTCCAGGTCAGCTGCCTATCGAGAGTGACACCCAGGAAAGTATGTTGCGTGACATATAGAATTTCCTTTCCGTCTATTTCGATTGGGTATTTGCCCGTGTGTTTTTTTTTGTGAATGCCATCGCCGCTGACCTTTCCGGCGATATGTGCATACCTCGGAGGTGTAGGTACCGTGCGGTAATGTTAATGGCTTTTTGTAGTCTTGCTTTGTTGATATACAGAGGTCTACTGCAAGTCCAGAAGCAGATATCATCCGCGTATATAGACACGTGAACGGTTTTTGCGAGAATTTTCAGGATACCTATGAGAGAAATGCTAAAAACCATCGGGCTGAGGACGCCTCCTTGTGGTACTCCCCTAGTAATATGATGAAGACCGGTGTTGCCGTCCTGTGTCGATATGTAGACTTCTCTTTCTTTTAGGTAATTGGCTATCCATTTGTATACAGGTCCTCCAAATCCAATGGCCTTCATATCTTGAAGAATAGGGTTGTGTTCTACGCAATCAAAGGCCGACTTCATGTCCACAAATACAGCTGTTGTTTTTTTATTTACTACCTTCATTTGTTCAATACTAGTTACTAAGTCAATAACGTTGTCAATGCTGCTTCTTCCGCGTCGAAATCCATTCATGGACGAAGGATATAGATCTCTATTTTCTAGATCCCATTCCATACGGGTAAGCAGCATTCGCTCCATTACTTTGCCTATGCAACTTGTTAATGCTATCGGACGGTAAGAGTTAATGTCTAAAGGAGGTTTTCCAGGTTTTAAGATTGGTAGAACCCGAGCAATTTTCTATTACTTCGGTACAGAACCCGTTTCCCACGAGGAGTTAAAAATGTGTAGCATTGCGGTCCTCGCCCCCTCCCCCAAGTGGCAAAAGGCTGAATACCGTACACCATCTGTACCTAGGGATGACCTAACGTTAGACATCTTGAGCGCCATATCAAGTTCCTTTAAGGTAAAACATGCATCAGTAGCCTTGCATACACTTACGGATTCATGTCCCTCCTGCGCACTGACTTTGTCATGGGGCCTTGAAGAGCGGGAAGTGATCTTGATACAGAACTCTTCAGCTACGACTGTTTCTGTTACTTGGCGACTCAGACTGATGGCGCAGAATGGGTAGATTTGCTGTGGCCTTGCACGTAGGCTTCGCATTATTTGCCATGTTTGATCGAGTGGTTTTCTCGGGTCAAGGTTGGAACTAAGTTACCTCCAGCGTCTTTTGGAAAGTTTGTCCAAGTGGCGTTGAACACGCTTTTGCGCTCGCCTAGAAGCCCGAACATCCTCCACATTCTTAGTCTTCCTTGTCCGGCGTTCTGCTCGTCGACGAATGGCCCGAAGACGCTCATATTCACCATCGACTGCACTATGAAGTTTTGTCATGTTGACATTTTTTGTCGCCTGAGAGGTTTAAGAGGTTATAGCCTCTGCAAGACCTTTTGGCTCAGTTACCGCGATACATGCGGATTTCATTTTAGTTTTAAAGAGATCCCAGTCAGTATAGCACATTGTGGTACGTCGCTTCGTGCAGTGCATTCCTCGAATCGTAGTGTATGTAGGAACATGATCGCTACCGTGTGTTTCAATATCTGCAACCCACATTGTTTCCCCAGAGAGGGTTGAAGATGCGAACGAAACATCTAAAGGACTACTCATAGATGCCCCTCTAAAATACGTCGGACTTCCGTCATTGAGTACTACAAGATCATGTTTTAGAGTGAGGTCAAATAATGCGTGTCCTCAAGTGTTATTCTTTTTACTTCCCCATGATGCGTTGTGACTGTTGAAATCGTCCGTCAGAATAGGAGGGGATGGGGTTTGCTGTTGAATAGTATGGAGCCTTTGAACGTCGAAGGGTGCTCGAGGGGGTATGTAGCCAGCAATAACTGTAAAGGAAACTTCTGCTTTTCTAATAGTTGCTGCGATATACTCATTTGTAGGGTGTGGCATGATGTTATGTTGAACAAATGTCAGATCCTTCCGAACGCCGAGTAAAACTCTGCTGAGTTCATTTCCTCCGTGAGAATGATACAGTTCATATCCTGATAACCTGGTGTTGTGAGACACTCGCGATTCTGAAATCGCAATAACAGGAAATTGATATTTAAGCACAAATTGACGAAAGTCAGCTAGTCGGTTTCGAAGACCTCTCGCGTTTTATTGAAGGACGGTGGCTTCACCACGAAGCTTCTCTAACGACACCATAGCTTGATAAGTGGAAGTATTGCATCGATCACAGTTAGTAGTGCTTGGGATAGGGGAGACTCCCATGCACAAAGGATACTACGGATGACATTGACGATTGTTTGAAGCTTGTCCCCAGTAATAGACGGTTGATCTTTGGCTGGTGCCTTGGATTTGTCCTGCCTGGGTTGCCGGTTTTCTTTGACTTCTACATCAGATTTCGAAGCTGAATCGGGGAGTCTGGGAAATTCGTTTTCATTCTTCAACTCCAAGGTGGATACTTGGGCGTCTCTTGGCTTCACATGTGTTCGGATTTGTCTAACGTTTGACAGCTGTGTTGACGAGGAGGGTTGTAGATCTTGAATCCCATCCTATAGAAGTTGGTGAGCTCCCAGGTCTTGTTTCGTTTTTGTACCATCTGTTTTAGAGCGACCTTGGGACACTTTCTCCTTCGATGGCAGTTGGGCCGCTTTTGCTGTTGTGTACCCAACTTTAGCTTCGCTCTTGTACTGATATATTTTCTTTTCCCTTTGGTACACAGGGCACAGATGCGATGTCAAGTCATGTGCTTTACCGCAATTTGTGCAGAGCAGGTCAGCCGCTTCAAACTTCATACGGTCGTGTGCTCCTCCACTGCGAGTGCAGCGCACGTCGTTTGTGCCGGCGGTTTGGACATGTCCAAAACTACCGCATTTCCAGCACTGACGTGGTTTCTCTATGTACGGCTGCAACTTGAACCTTGTGTATCCCACGGTGACATATTCTGGTAGTGTGTCCGTGCTGAAGACGACTTTGACAGACTCAGATTTACCCAGTCGAGACATGGAGATGACGTGTGCAGTTGCACGGACTGCCGATTGTAGCTCGGCTTCGTTAACGTCTACTGGTACCTGGTAGATCACTCCGGCCGCCAATTCCAGTGGAAGTGGTTCATAAGCGACGACAGGAATTCCACCTAATGAGGTGAGTCCAAGAATCGCTTTCGTGGCTTCAGTGTTTCTTGTGTCAATAGCCAGCACGTTGAGACTTCGATTGGACCTAACCAAGATGAACCCATCTGGAGCAGTCATTTCAAGTTTCTCTGTAATCTTCATCGGGTTAATTGTTGCAATCATGCTTAATGGATCTTTGGGCTTGATTATCACCGTCATGGTTTTGACTGTCTTACTGCTGCAGTTGGAGCTAGTAGATGGTTTGCGTCTCTTTCGGCCCAGGACCATTTGATATGGCTCTGAATTAATATCCTGATCATCAGAGATACTTTCGTAGTAGGATATGGTGCTTGAGGAGCTCGACATACCCGTTAAATCCTGTTCCATTTCGGTTGGCGTGGCAACTTGGCCAAAGGGAAGGCCCTCCGCGGCCATGGTCGGTGAGCGATGCGTCAAATTAGAAGATCGTATGGTTTTTTCCCTGGCCCGAGCAGTGAGAAACTTGATTAAAATCAAAATATAGCGAGACGCTCACAATGGCAGTGAAAACTGAACAGACTTCTTCTTTTTTTCAGGCGGCGGGTGGGTTAACGTGCATCCCATTGACACACGCGTGACAAACCGTCCCTAGAGCGTGCAATTCGCTTAACGAGTGTCAATGAAACGTTCGTGTCGACGAAACGTGTGTACATGAAACGCGCTTCAACCAAATGATAGGGAAGCTCGAGCTTCCGTAGCATTCATTTGACGACATCAAATTTCTTATAATCAGGTTCCAACAAGTTTTCCTGCCGAAACTGTTAGGCTGCGTTCTCCCGACATCAATTTTTCAGTGTTTGCAATAAAAACTTCTACTCTGTATAAAAAAAAGAACAACTACGGTGAAAATGTTTTAAATTAGGTGTGTTCCTAGTTCAGCCATGCCTAGTTGTGTTTTAATTTAAGCTAATGATTGAGGCAAATTAGTAACAGCTGATCTGTATGGTCGAATTGTGAAAGGTAAAACCGGCTTTTTAGGCCGCATAAACTCCGGTTTGCAGAAAGCTGCAAATTCGTCAGAATGTGAAGCAAAAAAATTTACGCCTGAATGAGAATGTTTCAGAGCATAAACAAGCATAAAGTGAGGACTGATCTTTAAGGGGTATTCACACGAGGGAGAAATCCCGGGGATTTCTCCCCGGCACGCGCGCATCACGAGATGAAAACGCGAGGCTTTTGCACATCGCAAAGCCTGACGTTTTCGTCGTGGGATGCGCGTGCCAGGGAGGAATCCCCAGGATTTCTCCCTCGTGTGAATACCCCTTTACGAGCAAGCGTCGAACCCGGAGAAAATCGGAACAATCGCGCCTGCTTCGCAACGCCCTGCATAGATGGCGCCACCACTCTGTCAGTGTAGCGTCACCATGTTTTCGATTTGGTTTTGGCGGCAAGACGGAATCGTTCGATACTTTCTGGTGTTTAACTTCAACACTGCTTTTTATTTCAACGAAAAAAAAGAAAACATAAACTGTGATACTTGGCTGCATTTGCTCAGATATACACCAACTCATGTTTGCAAACAAACCCGAGCGCCCCTAGCGGACGCCACCGGCGCCGCGCATGCGCGTTGGACGGTGGGCAAGAAGCCCGCCGTCGCCCATGAACAAGCCATTGAATTGCGTTGTTGTCGGCGTCGGTGAGAGTCCCCGTGCTCTTTTTCGCGCTGGAATTGTTGATTCTACGTCCTCCTACCAATGTCTGACTACTTGAGCGGCTTCAACAAATTTAACGAGGCCAAACTTTGCGTGAATAATGTGACTTGCGGCGATTCATTTCACTTGGACGCCGCAGAATGGGCGCTAAAGCCTGACTTCCACAATGAGATTCTGCTCGCTATTTTCAGTCGCGACGTTGCTCGGGCTGCAAAAGCGCGGACCTTAGCTGAGATGGTGGACGTCTATACTGAAAAGCGCAAGTAGAGTCGGGCATTACAAGTCGGAGATGGCCACTGGTAGCAATGACCAACATCTTCTTGTATCTACTGTTTACACTTAGCCTACTTACCCCAACCAACCTTCAAAAGTGTTTTGAGGCCTGCACTTAGTTCTTCTCGCAATTACCGGGACAACATTTGGTTTACGGGCCGCTGTCGTTTGAACGAGCTGACGACAAAAAGTAGACAAGTTTGAAAGAGCAGACGACAGTTCGAACGCATGCGCCATGGAGTGCGGGCAAGAAGCACCGCGTCCCGCGTCAACAAACCATTCAAATGTCACGTTGTCGGCGTCTGTGTGAGTCTGCATACTCTTTTTCGCGTTGCAATTGGCGATTCTACGTCCTCATGGCAATGTCTTACCACTTTAATCGCCTCAGAGAAATTATCAAGGCTCATTACGCCACCTAAACATCGCGTACATAATTTCATGTGCGGCGATTCATTCGCATGAACGCCGCAGAATGGACGCCAAAACCACGATGAGATTCTTTTAGCTCTTAAGTCACGACGTCGCTCGTGCTGAAAAAGTGTAGAAGGTAGTGGCGATGATCGACGTCGATACTGAAAATCGGAAGCGGGAACAGACGAAGCGTAACAAATCGGTGATCGCCGCAGGTACCATTGATCAACATCTTGTATCTACTGTTTACACCGAGCCTACTTAACTATTTTGAAGCCTGAAATTACTTTTTATTGCATTCACCGGGTCAAAGTTTAGTCTACGGGCCGGTTTTTGTTTGAACGAGCAGACGACAAAAGGCAGACAAGTTTGAAAGAGCTGACGAACGTTCAAACGATCAGGCGGCCGTGTGAATTTGAAGAAGCACTGAACCCCTGGGTGGTCCGGACAACTTGGCGTTTTTTTCTCGTTCATGTTGGAACAAAACAAATACATCTGGCGACCACAAAGTGTTGCACGCACAAGCAATCGTAGTGCGACAGCCTATGGTTTGCCCTTTTCACGGCTGCTATCCACGTTCTCGGACGAACGGAGGGGCAGAAACACATGAAAACTGATCTTCAAACCTTTCCAGACTCTCTTGGTACAGCCCCCGTCGCAGCATTTTGACGAAAAGATAGGTTTTTTGTCTGGTTTCTCCCAAAAAAACACAGGAATGCATGTCTCGCATGGCGACTTCTACCCACCGCCCACACCGGAAGTGCGCCCGACGCGCCACCACCGCGGCGTGACGTAGGAGAGTTGAGTTGGTGTATAACATATCTCCAAATAATTATTCTAGCAGATGTCGTCAGTTTTGCTTGCTCTTCGGGGACCCGGACACCGGCCCTCCCGTTGATCGCTTTTATCTTCCGTCGTAATTTGCCGGACTGTCGTGCCTCATGAGGCAACGAATTCAAAAGCAACGCACGGATATCGTGCTGTGGTACTCATAGGATAGAAGCTTCAGGAAGGCTCGCAGTCATTACTGAAGAGAGCACCATTACAGGCCACCGTCGAAGACAACCATCTGGAAGTGGGTCCTGCGTTTCTGGGAGGTGGGCAGCAGCGCCAACAAGAAGCACGCCTTCGCCCATAGAGTTATTATAATGTACGCTAGAAGTTCAAGTGGCGCTAGTGTGCTGACGCAAATTAAAGCAGGCAGCGACCAGTCGAAAATTGACTTCCGGTAATGCATTTCTATGGAAGAGGGTGAGAGCATTTTCTCCCTGCGCTAGATCATAAGAGCATATTTTCCCAAGAATTCGTACGTGCTAGGTAGCTTGGAACATTTCTCAGTCAGAGAAAAGAAATAATTGGTCAGTTACGGCGTTTTGTCTTTCAAATTCATCGCATTAAAAACAATGCTAAAACGGCTTCGTACGTGTATTTATGTGCACTGTCGGACACTGTTAGCGCGAACACGACGTTGGCGCGTTTCAGTATGAGGAATATACGTGCCGAACGAACAAGGGAGATCTGGAAATTAAAGGAGACGGGAAGAACTACGCAGTGACATTAGATCAGTAACCACCCGTGAATGTACGATCAAAATTAATTGAAGGCCATGTAATATATTCCGATTTTAAATAAGCAAGCACCGCTTAGTTTTTTTTGCTCGTGAGGATGTGCGATTATGTTTGTTCTGCGTTGAAAACACCACCCGCACGCTCGAAATCTTTGAGAAGTGCCAAATAGTAGCTGCCCGGCAGAGGAAACAATACGAAGAGATACCTTTCATAGCCCACGTACTTTATTCTTTATTTGAATGTTGTTTTTTTCCTCTCATGCACGACGGGGTCATTTTCATATAGTGACAGGACTTGCATATTATCAATATATCAGCCTCACCGAGATGCTGGCGAGCCTTGAACACACTCTAGATTCCTTTCGATTGTTGTTTTGCTTTGAATCGTCGCTTGTTTTTTACACACTCGCTGCGGGAAACATGTTTCGGACTGAAGTGTAGCGAAGTTAAACATCGTTCACCGATAAAGAAAAATGCGCTAACTGAAGCAATTACACTTTTAGAATGTTAATCAAGGTACATACAATTCGGTACGACCCAAATAACCAAAGCGTTCCGTGTTAGTTTCCGGCGAAGAGACAGAATGCACGCGCGTTTTCCATGGGAATGCACAGGAGCATCGCAAAAGTAGACCTCTTTGCGTCTGCTTCCATTTGCGTCACGGAAGTCACATGGACTAACGGAAAACAAACAGCGCAAGGACAAGGACAGAGTAGAAGGCGGTAGACACACACAGCGCTGACTTACAACTGAGCTTTATTGGCACTGACAACCTGTATAAATACACAATTTGCCCGGCCCAAAAGCCAAGAAAAAAACACAAGAGGAGGACTACATGTGTTCCTAGAGTCATCTGCAGGCGCCGTTGCTCTCCGATCTGAGTAGAAAAATACACTCCTTTTCCGTCAAGGCAAGTGACGGGGCACTAACACACTCAGAGCCCCATTGTCCAATGGCGCGGGCTTCTATAATCTCACGTGTCAGTTTATCTTTTTGTTTACTGATGACCGTGCATCGTTCAAAAAACGGAGTACATCCACAATCGCGGCAATGCACCCCAAGGTGCCCCGACACAACCTGAGACACATTATATCGATGCTCTCTTAAACGCTCATTAAGACAACGTCCTGTCTGCCCTATATATCTCCGGCCACAGGACAGGGGAATAGAGTAGACAACACCCGCAACGCATGTAACAAACTGGCTTTGGTGTTTCTTGGCGCACACCTGTCTCTCTATTACATGAGAGTTCACTCTTTTGCACATCATAGATAGCTTGTCTGGAGCTTTTAGTAAATGCTTGGAACCACTGGTTATCACGCACGAATTACCAGTAAACGGTTCCATAAGATTTTTAGACCTTAGGCTGCAGTGTCTCCCCACACACACCTGCTGGCTTTATGAACCAAGGAGTAATAAACCCCTCCTGTCGTTTTCGTCTGCCCACTCTAAACTGGTAAAAAGGGGAATCGTCAACATTTGCTTTAAAAACG